CTAATGAGTGAAACTTCTTTTTATAACTCCAAAGTGGGGTTCTGCTGTGAAGAGCTTGCTTTCCCAAGCCTTTGGAGTGAATAACTTCTATCACTGAGAGAGTGATAATTTGGGGTCCTTGTGAAAAGTCCATGTGCTGTGATCTCCATGGTGCTTTAATAGTTGTGAAGCATGTGTTGTAAATTGCTGTATGCAACACTTGGCATCTTTGATTTAGACAAAGTTTTAAGTTCTGGCATTGTCTTATGGTCACCCTGGGAAGTAAAATAATGCCAAAAGCCAATATCAGCCATCAAAACCATTGATAAAATCCCAGTGTTACAGTTCCTGTCTCGCTGTCTCCACTTTGGACAGATGTCCAAAAAAGAGACATTGATAATAGGATGAATATGGTTAATTGCATTACCTTTAAATGGGAAAAGAAACAGGCTCTGATTCTAACAAGTTTAGGGTATCTGAGTTTACTCAGAGCTGTAGTTAGTGTACAGTTGGTTGCTACATAGTAAAATAAAAAGAGATTCTGTTTTTTTTAATAATGAATGGAGTTCCACTGGGGTCTGTATCAGGTCTGCTGCTTCCTAATCATGGCTGAAGTTCTTGACACTGGCATAGAATGGACACTTGCCAAGCACGCAGATGATACAAATACAGACTGGCTCATAAACCATGTGGAAACTACAAAAGCAAAACAGAAGTATAGCATGTTACTTTTCCTGTAGAGAGAGTCACTAGGATGTACCTTTTCGGGAATGCAAAAAAGTATTTTTGTAAAAGTGACAGAAAAGTAATATTGATTGAGATTGCAGGGCAATTTCAGATTTAAACAATAATGAAACTGGAATTTGCTGCTATTTAAAATAATTTAATCATTTCGGCTTCTCAAGGTGCATTTCAAACTACTAATATATGGAAAAAGTGTGGTTATGAAAGATTGTTGATATCAGGATTTCTTCTTCACTCTGGGTCTTGGGAATTAAAGGTTGCTTGCTTTGGAATTTAATTTTCTACTACAGATGTACTGTAGCAATCACAGCAATAAGGATAGACGTGGTGTCATTTTATATATTTTATTGAGGGAGACATGGACTCTTCCCTAGAAAAAATTCTCAATCATCCCAAATTACCTCTTGCACGTAGAGGCTGTTAGCTTACCTTTTGGTCTAAATGTGGCCCTGTTGTGTGGTTGTGTCCCTTTAACTTCAGCGAAAGCAATTCACTGCAGCTAATGTTCTCCTTAACTAATCTGCTTGGTAAGTGGTAAAGTCTTACTGTTAAGTGTATCTCGGTGAAATTGATTGGAAAGCAGTAGAAGGAAAATGGTTTTTAAATAAGTTACAATTAGATAACCATTAATCTTTGTAGTATAAATGAATGTCTTGCTTTAGGGCTTGTTGGATGTAAAAACAGATTTACAAAACTCCTCTTCTGAAATTCGAATATGTCTTCCCCAATTTTAATTGCTCTATCATCTAGAATTAGACTTTTTTTCTTTTTAAATCTTCTTGTTTTCTTTTTCTTCTCTTGCATTTTGCTCACTCATTTAAAGTACATAAAGAACCACATATATGGATACATGCACATGTATGTCATAAACGGGGAGAATTAATCATGTTATCATGATTGAACACATTCATATCTGTTTATGAATGCTGAAAAAGATTTGTTTTGGAATTGATTCTTACTATTAGCTACTGGATTTTGTTACTACTGAGGCAGGCAGCATTTTTCATAAATTATTTAAAAAATAGCAAAATGTAATGTACTGTTGAATATCATTGTTTTAACATCAGTGCATGTAAAAGTAAGAATCTGCCATTCTAATCCAGTGAAACAAGAAAAAACCCACACAGATTAATGTTTCTTGCTGTCCCCAAACCCTGTAATGACATGTTTTTTTCCAGTTATGTGGTACATTATGCCTGTATGATGTCAGTATGAACCTCAGTTTCGTTTTTATAATGGTCAGGTTTTGGGGAAAAATATAGAAAATATAGTTCCAAAATAAACAGTGGTTGAAAGGGTAATTCTCCATTTACACACACATTTTAAGTCCCACATATGAAAATGGGCATGTTGTCAGTCATGTGATCTGAAAAAGACACTCCAGTTAAAATAACATTTAACATAACATTGTTTTTTTTAATTGTAAAAATGCTATTCATTGGTTATTAACTTATTTGCCAACTAATGATGGAACAAAAAAACATAGTGTTGCAAAAGTATTCACTCTCTCCTAATGATGTCCTGGTGTTTTAAGTTACAAATAATGCATGCGTGATTTTTTAAGTGACATTTTTGAATAAAAATTAGCAAAGATTATCAATACTCAAACAGAATGCTTTTATGGGTGAAACATGTTAAAAACTCACAAAGGAATTGATGGTTGCTAAACTATTGATAAGCCTTCACCCCTTTTGTTGTAAGAAAACTTTAAATAGTGCAGTCGCACACAATTACTTTGTAATTCAGAAGATCGGTGAATGGGCTCTTTGGTGAGCAATGATAGTGGTTCACCTGATTTCAGAATAAATACAGCTATCTCTGTAAGATCCCAATGTCAGATAGCGAATTTCAAGGAAAGACATCGAAAACCAACGAGCTCTCAAAACAACTCGGGAATAAAGCTGTAGAAAGGCACCGATCAGCAGAAGGGTGGAGCAAAATCTCAAAGTCACTGAATATCCGTTTGAGCACAGAGAAATAAATAAGTAAGAATTGGAAGGGGTATCATACTACCCAGACACTGCCTAGATGAGGCTATTACTCTAAAATGAGCAGCATTTGCAGTTTGAACATTCATATTTTTATTAAGAAGAATCAGTTTAAAAATATGTATGCATCATAGATAATTCAATTGAAAATAAGCTATCATTGAAAGGACATAAGCACTCTTGTAAGGATTTTTTGTAAGGATCTGTATCAAATAACTTCTAGTATATTAACATTTTTATCTGAAGTCATTTTTTACAAGCATGGTCTCTCCTGCTGAGACTACAATTCTGTAATGCACATATTTTTTATGTATGAAGAGCACAGTTTCAGGCACTTTTCTGTCAGAAATAACAATAACAAGAAGGAGTCCTTAATTGAGTTATTAGCATGACTTTTAATGTCAACCCCTGTCTTTTCCTTTATTTCCATAATGTTGTGAGGAGAGTCAAGAACAGTTTGGTTTCTTGTCTGGAAATCCTGCAAAGTACAGTGTATATTTTCAAATGGTCTAATTTGGATATCTTGACGGAAAATAAAAACATGTGGAAACTAGGAAGTTGTGAAAGTGATATGTGAAAATATGACACCCAGTAAACCTAATTTGTCTTGAAAGATATGCAGTTAAAGCCCTGTGTGGAATATACCGTGATTTATTAGTGTTACTGGATTTGAGCTTTCATAAGGGAAACCACATTGCATATATTTACTGAAGTGTGCAAAGTAGTTTTAGAAACAAAGCATATCTCTATTGAGCACATACAGAATATGCAGGAAAAATCTAGTATTTCTCACTCTTTTAGTATTCTGAGATAGAACTCCTCAATTCTTTATTTGTTTTCATTAGTGCTACTTGTTAAAATAACTGTTGGCATGGAATGAAGAATTGACTTTTATGCATGATGTATTCTGCAGGTGAGGATTATTTTTGTTTTTCTCATTGGAGGTTCAGACACAAGCTTGGTGTTCAGACACGAGCTTTTTCACCGAGCATTCCACTTACCTTCATGTGTAATCCACTTCGTTCATTTACAATTATACCCGCTCTTGCAGTTTATCTGGATATGTATGACTAACAGTCCACCACACCTCAGCACCTTTTGCTTGTGTAATAAACTTGACTTTTCAGGTCAGGTGGTTTGAGTGGAGTAATCTGCACTCCAAGTCCATTAGCAGACAGAACGACCCGTCATGTTAACATAATGTAAGCTGCACAGATGTGAATCAGTTCAGTACAAATCCTTCACGTGAGTGATTCCTGAAAGGCTTTTACTTTCATAAATATACTACAGAAGGTGCATATAGTATAACTTTCATACAGACATATCCATAACACACACATTCATCTAGTCTGATAACTTTGTGGAGCGAGCTGACTTTCGAGTCAGATGAAAGTGTAGCACAACTTTTTCAGTTTGTCACATGCCGTACTTACAAAATGCAATATGTCCAGTTTGTACTGAGAGTTGTTTCTGATCAACCATGTGTTGAAGATGATTTGAAGATTTTTAATGTTTTGTTTTGAATGACTCTCTTCCCACTGCAGTTTCATGTAGTTGGCTGCCAGGATTTTCTTAAAGCATGTTTTGCTGACTGATACGTTCCTTAATATTAAGACTTGGTACACAGCTGTTGATGAGAGACATGTTACTGTAAATGTTTATGTATGTCTTTCCGATGATTATGTTAAACTTTTTGATACGGTAGCTAAATAAGGATGCAGTACTGATTTTTATGAGGATGTACTGTAGGAAACAGATCTTTACATTTCCATAGATACAAATATTGTAACAGTGCTTCAGGTAACTGTTAGATTCCTTGTTAGGTTGTATGTAAGTTTTTGTATGTATGAGATTGATGAATGATGAATATGTGTGGCGTTTATGTGTGTGGATCAAAGCAAATATTGAGGATGCAGAGATAAAATAGTGCTTTTACATGTGGTGAGTTTTTATTTGCTGTTTTGTAAAACGTACGCCAGCTGGGAACATAAAAAGAAACACGTAAAACAACTTAAGGTATTCTTTTGCATTTATATACAAAAACATCAAGAAATGAAGAAAGTATTTTAATGTGACCTTCATTAAGCATTCATGTCAACTTTTCTTATCTATTTATGATTTAATTTTTTCCACTCCTGTTGTTCAATTAGTGCTTGACCCCTTTAGCGGAGATGTAAATTAAATGACATTTCAGTGTCGTCCCATATTTAAAATACTGCGTTAGTTGCGGATCATAAATGATGATCTTCATTGTGCAGCTAATTTATTCATTTAACAATTTCCCTCCAGAAGTTCCAGCAGAAGGCTCTGAAGCAACCTAAGCAGAAGAAATCCAAGTCGGATGAATTTCTGATGGGTGAGCCGTGCTTGATGAGTTATTGCTCATAATTTGTGTAAGGATTAATTAACTAATTACAGACAAATGGCTTTGGGCTAAATTTTGCTCTTGCTTGTCAGGGCGCAATTTGTAATTATTTTAATCATTTATTCTTCTTCTTTTTTTTTCCAAGATTCAGATTTAATTTTAACCTAATTGTGTTTTAGTGACATTCGAGGAGGATGCGCTTGAGTATTTTTGGTAAAGGAATCACTAGAAGGAAATTTTCTGGCTGTCATTGAAATGTTCTTTGGTATAATGTGCTGTTCTGACCTTCTTGTTGTGCAGGAGAAGGAGAAGAGAGAGCAGCGGCAGAAGGCATTGAAAATCCTGCTTTTAACAGCAGCAGCACAGACCTTTCAGCTTATCAGGCTTCAGAAGAAAGAGAAATGAAAGATGACAGGCAAGATAGCACCCTTGCAGCTCACCAACAAAAAACCGGGCTGCACGTCCATACTAAACCAAGAGGTGAAGCGTCATTCTTCATTAACCTCAAAATGAGTGACAGTAGTTTTGTTCCTGATCTAACCTTTGCATTCTGAGGCCTGATCCACACATTCCAGCAACACGTCCTAACAAGTCCCCTTCTAACTTAGACTGGGAAGTGTCATAGAATTGGATGTTCCAGAACTTTTAGCCAAAATTACCAATGAGCTCTTTATCGAAAGCAAGCCCTTTGGAGATCTGACTGAATGCTGTAATCTTAAAACAGAGTCTGATTGACAGTCAGGCAAATTTAAACAGAACATGAATTGAGAACTGTCTTGTACACAGCACCTCTTTTTTGAAGAAATAAATAAGTAAAAGAAACAAATAAGAAGGAAACCGAGACATACAGCATACTCGAGTGTGTAACACTTCAGCTTGTTCTTGATCTTCCTGTGTGTGCCAAACGAGAGCACAGTACACATGAAACTAGAGCTGTAGCTGAAAGAACGTGCTTCGTCTGCTGTTGTACAAATACAAAAGTAAAACACAAAAGCAGTCCAAAGAGAGGGTTTATTAATCATGCCATGTTATAGTTTAGTCCCACATTTCCAGAGTTACTATAACATTTGACAGCTGAATGGGGTCTCTGATGTTTGCATTTGTTTTTGTATGTTGTACTACAAAGTGATTTTGAAACAATTTTCTAAGAACACAGCTAGCGCGCTAGAACAACTAATTTTATTAAATCCCTCCACATTCAAAGGAGTGCTTTTTTCTGCCCCCGTCAAAAACAAATATTTTACTGAACTGGATAGATTGAAAAACACTTTGACATTGTTTTGTTACGTTGTTGAGTTACTGTCTAAATAATACTGTATGAAATAATATGGTTTTATAGATAATTGCAATTGCATCTCAAAGAAACTCAACACTTACAAAATCACATTTGGATGTTATTGGATATTACTATGCGGTATGGGAAAAACAGAAAAGATGGGTGCAGGGGAAAGCAGAAAACACCTCAGAAAGATTTAAAGTGTTAGACAAAGCTGATGGCTAAAAGCATCCCTGCTGCAGAAAGTCTACTTTGGTGTCCCGTATGGCGTGAGGAAAGATCGGTGATGCATCTTGCATAGCATGAAACTGTAGGTGTGGTTGTCCTGGGGTCCATCACTGGCACTTCACACAGGGGAACAGGGAAGAGGGATCTGGAATATCCTTGGATGAATCCCAGGGGCAGTTTCATCCCATCCATGATGAAATTGATAACATCATCTTGCCGTGCCTTGAAAATGTCAGCAGGGTGCATGGAAATTTGCACCCGGGCAAGGTCTGTAGCCTCTTTGGTAATCAACCTAAAAGATCACCAGTCCTTTGGCCTATTACTCATAATCAAATCTGCATCAGTTTTCCAGAAAATGGACAACTGAAAACTAATAATATAACCTTAGACACTAAAGCAAGAATAGCAAATGTTGTAACTTAATGACAGGATCTATCAGAGGGTTAGAAACCAAAGCGACATTTACTTTTTTATCCTCTTGTATGGATGCTGTTGTGTTTTTGCTTCCCCTATATCCCTCACAAAGGTCCATAAACATCAGAGTATTTCATGAATTTGAGAAGCTGGTAAAATCTGTTTGTCTGTTGGATTCAGGTGAGCCTGTACCCCAGCTGGTTGTAATACATCTTTTGCTCCTGACTTCTGTCAACAAAGCACTTTATTACCTCATGTGCAGGAGACCACAGTGGATTATCATAATTACAGCCTCTATTTTATATGTGCTTTCAAAAGCAGTGATCTGATCTGAATTTTATACTTCACTGAATGTTTCTGTAGAAGACTTAAATATTTCTAAAGCCGGCAGAATTCAGAAGAAAAGAAAGCAGAAGAGTAAAGAGTGCCACAGAGATTAAAAGTAAACAGGAAAACATGTCACTTTTTACAAACTAGTACAGTGGACTGCTCAATCCTTTACATAATCTCAAGCATATTATGTTTGCGCAAGTATCCAGTATACAAATACTCACATTTTGCTTTGAGTGTCTAAAGCCACTGTCATCTAAACTACTGCCTTTAGGACAAATTCTTTTGCTTTTCTCAGACAGGTGTTTCAAAAAGCCTGTACTGCAATCTAATTGATCAAATCTAATAAACAACTATATGTTTAGCTTTGATTTTCTATATACAGTTGAAAGACAGTGTTTACAAACTAGTGGGGGTTTTTCATGCATTCCCTGTGGTTTTATTCTATAAGTAAGCACTCATATATGGGCAAAAAAAATATTTGTATTCTGCAATGCACATCAGTCATTTCCGACGAAAAATACAAGTGGTTGCACTTTTCATCAAAACTAAATTTAAACTGTTTTGGTTTTGGCATTCAGAATAATATTGGCAACAGTTTGTTTTAGCTTAGTAAAATGAATTTATTCAATTGTTGCCAGTACTTTTATCATAAGTATACAGCAGATTCAGATGTACAGTAAGTAATAGAGGGGAGGTGTTATTGCCCATATATTTGCTTCACAGCTATTTGGTTAAAAACAATATCTTTCCTTAAATGCATTCACCATTACCAGTAGTATCAAATTTTAAGAACAGTGTATTATTGTAATTTATTATTTTCACATTCTGGGCTTTTATTGATATCATGCATGTAAAAACAGGGCTTTGAAAATTGCATTAAGGGAGATGAGTACTGGAAGATAGCCAGACTATTTAGGTAAATCAAAGATATGATTCAAAGTAAGGATCTTTGGGGCTGCAGAAATTATGCAAATTCAGATTGAAAATGGGTTTCATAACCTTAGAGCTAGAACTGTAAAATCGTTAAAACTGTGTTTACAATGTAAGGGAGCCAAATATGAATTTCACAGTTAATTTATAGTATCAGTTACATTTATAAGTTCTCAAATGAATATCTTGGCTTCAACCACAATAAGGCCGCCTATTTGACAGTAGAAATACAGGACATATAGTGTTACAGAATAGAATTCGACAGGGGTGGTTGTAGAAGCAGTAAAATGGAATAGATCTTTGAAAATATACTCTAGGATTCCCAGTATTATTACTGTATATTACAGAAATAATTATACTTTTGTATGTGATATTTAAATTAGACATTATTTAAATATGCACTGCTTTTCAAGTGAATTATTTTCAAGTTGTTTTTCTATTACCTGATATTTTCTGTGCATTTATAATTTTTCTGTAACCAAAGACAAGTGTGGTCTGCACATTTGCACAGCAACAAATAACACATTGCATTGCAACGGTGGATTCGGTTGTGGATTAATACAAGTGATAACGCCCATCAGTCAAATTTGCTTAAAGCCCATTCAAGACCTATTCTTATAATTTTATTGTTAAACTGCTTTTGACAGCAATAACACAGAATTATTGAAAAATGCTTACAACCTTAATCCCATGCCCCAGTTTGAAAGTATGCCCTTGACTTTTATTAAATAAAAATTTAAAATAGAAGTGAATGAATATATTATTAGAATTATGGTGTTGTTCTTGAAGACATATTTTATTGGGAAATGTGCCTTTTCTTTATTTACTGTATTCTGTTTATGGACATATTCTTACAGATAACTCCTGAAAGTTTTGTTAATCATAATCATAGTAATCATAGTTTTGCTACACAGTCAGTGATTCTAATAGTTTTGTGCATACAGCCACGTTAATGCACAAAAATGCACTTTTACAGGTAGGCAGAATATTAATACAAACGAGACAAGGCAACCACCTAGCCTTTTCTGATTTCTGTTTTTTTTTGGGGGGGAGATAAAATACAGAAGAATAAATTGACACAAAGTAAGGAAAAGCTTGTTAGCACAGAGTTAAATGCCTGTACAGGGAATATCAAAGGGTATGAAAAGAAAACAGACCTGTACGACGTACCTATTCATAAAAAAATCCCTCGAGGTCTCCAATTCATATGAATGCAGAGCAGCTTTGAAGCCCATAGGTCAGTGATTGCTAATAAGAAGTCAATGGGTTGTGGGTTAAGGTTTTCTGCCTCTCCTTCTCATCAGCTTGGTTGCTTAATGCTTCGACCCCTGAGCATTTAGAGGGTTTTGTCTTTGAATTCCCGGTACTTTAACTTGTAAATTTTCTCATTAGTTCTTTTTGAACAGAAGTAACATATGGCAGTTGTATTTAAAAGATTGCCTCACCTGACCTTTTGCGGTATGGTAATTAGGCCCCAGAGCCCTGGAGGTCTAGCGAGGAGCTGTGAGAACTGAAAGGCAAAAGCTTATCAGGTAGCAGGAGTGGCCCAGTGCAATGGTGTGGGTTTCAGAATTAACATTTCAGTTCATGTGCTTCTAATAATCAGTGACCCCTCGCATCCACGTACTTTCCACAGGAAATGAACGCACCCGAAATTACTTTGACCCGCCGCTCGATGAGGAAATCAACCCAAGGCGATATGGAGCGGAGGGCAGCACAGAAGATGAGCTGGAATTAAGTATGCAATTTCTTATCATAATAGTCCCCTCGGTTCATTAAAATGGGGGTGAAAAAGATCATTCATCTGGGCCATTTACTGTATGTTTTCACTGCTGTCTTTGTAAATACGATGTCTCCCGTACTGCAGGGGGAACCTATGAGTGAGAGTGATCTCGAGCTAGTTGTCATTGACGAAGGTCAGGTATCATTGGTCAGTTACTTGTTTGCACATGTGCTCACGTAGAGAGAGCACTGACTTTAGAGGACCCTACGTTACGGATCGCTTTCTCCCCCACGCCTATTAAAAATGTGCTCCTGGGAGTAAAGTAATATGCATGTTATAATGAAATGTGGGCTATTAGCGACAAACCATTTTATCCGTATTTGTGGAGTTATGAAGTCGAGTAATGTCCAAGACATCATTAAAACAGAACGCTTCACATAATGAGGAAAGCGGAGTTTTAAAAATGTATTTATTCCAAAGGATTCTGCTGCCTTCCAGAAAAATGGTGTGAAGCAGTTTTATGTGGATTGAGGCCTTGATTGATGCAGAGAAAGAGTTACTTCCTCTTTTATGAATTTTGATGTACAGTACATTTCAGTTAAGTGTAATCAGACAGGAACCTTTACAAAAAACATCTTACATTTCTGCCAGATTTCATACACCTGTTTGTTTGACTTTGACTAATATTTAAATATATTAAGAAAACAGATAATAGATGTCAACAAAAGCATGTTTTCTTCTCATAAATGTGAAGAAAAGCCAGATCTTACATTTGTTTTATTCCGTTGTTTCCATTTAGTACGAATTATGATACACGAATGACACTCAAATATTTATTCTCTGCATGTCTTCTTTAGATGTGTTATTTTCATTTGTCATGTATCACAGAGGTCAATTTGAAAAGACCTTAAAACTTCATCATTCTGTGATCTAGATTCAAGTGAGGCTAATAGATTCCATCTGCAGATCTTAAAAAGCAGGCAGATCTCTACAGATCTGAATTAACAGTACTCTTTAATTTTCTACTGTCAGACACCGTTCAGTTAAAATGTTCTATTTTGTCAATCTCTCCTTACGGAAAAGTGACCTTTTCTGAAATGTAGGTTATTGGTCGTTGTTTCATAACACAATGAAACATGTTTTCAGCTATATGCATTCTTACACTCCAAGTCCTTTCAATTAATTCCAGTAGACTTCCTTAACTTGTACTTTTTAAGTGGTCAGTAAACTTAGAGTGAGTGCCATTGGCAAGTAAGAATGTTTAAAAATATAACATTTAATACTCTTACTAAATGAATTAATTACCTTGTTTTAGATGTGCTTATACAGTATGCACAACTGTGAATGTAATCCAACAGTCCGTAAAGACCCTACTGAATATTTTGAATTATCTTTTTGAAATTCTCTCAGTTTTCTGGATTGTGATATATATTATTATAAGAGAATAATTATATCAAATTTAAATAAGGATCTTAGTTCTTTTTTAAAGTTATACAATATTACAAGAAAATGAGGTTATCAGATAAGAGGTACCTTAATTGTTGTAATTGTAATTGTGTCTTATCTTGTGAAATCTTCTTATTTATTGTTGTAGTCTTCTTATTTATTGTTGTAGTCTTCTTATTTATTGTTATTGTCATCCTGTAAAGCGCTTTGAGAAGCCACCTTTAAAGGCGCTATATAAAATAAAGTTTATTATTATTATTATATTATTATTGTGAGCCGTTTCCAAATGTGCATTGTTTTGCTTTTTTGAAGGCTTCTTCATAACATGTATCTGTATTCTGAAGAGATCTTTGTTCTCTCAGAAGAACTGAAATGCAATGGCTATAGGCCATATATTTTATTATTATTTGTAACAAACATGCTTAAATAAAAAAAAAACGTGTTACGACAGAAAATGTTTTCAGAAACTGTACTGTGCTGCAGTAATAATTATAAGGATAAGAAGAGTGGTGATGTTAAAAATACATGTATTCAAGTATGTATTTGTGGCTCAGAAGCACATTAATGTGATGATAAATGATATGATAGTGAGGATATCGACTGTGCTTGCAAAAGGTGCCAAACAAAAGGTAAACTAAGGAAATGGGTTTTATTGTATCTAAGAGCACCCCACAAAATGGCATAATTTGCCTGTGTACATTATTATTTTGCGTAGCATAGTACCACAAACAAGAAACCATATCTGGATTGTTTTTATTACTTTGGAGCAGTCCTTTGAGACCGGTTATTCAGCTTGTAGGTTGTTTTATTTAATCAAATCAGTCTGTTTTTTTCAGCTTGCAGATTTCTTTCTGAGTAATGTCTCTAAACTAAAAAAATTCTGATGGCAAAATTCCAGATTCCAAAATACAAATACACGTTTCTTTAACCTTAAACATACAATCCCTACTGTAAAAGGAATAATATCTGCTTCATAACAGGCTCAGAGTGCTAAACATTGCTTCAGTCTCCTGTCATCCCTGTGAATAAATACTGGGTCATTTGAGGTGACGTTTCACTTCCCATTAGGAGTTAGAAGCAAAAAATCTTTTACAGGGAGCTAATCGTTATTGTCTGAAATGATCATCAAAGTCTTTTAGTTCAATTTCACAAGCATTTATTTCCTGCTTAACTTTTCTTCTCCCCACTGGGGAAGAAGCACCTTGGGCAGCGGATAAAAATTCAGAGAAAAAAATTCAGCTGTGTTTTGAATTTGTAATTAAATGTTTGTTTGGTCATTTTAATGTGTTTCTTTGTAAAACTGAAATTTAAGGATTAAGACTATTGTATAAAAAAACATAAGACAAAGATTCTAGTTCTGAACTATTAGCTGTGCTGTAGATTTTCCTTTAATGTTACCGGGTTTTAAGCATCAGCTAGTGCAGCTGGGCAATGAAATGATCCACATTGCAGTCATTCCTGACCGCCGGCAGAATGTTGCAACGGGCAGTAGGAGTAGCAGGAGGACTGGGCTGGTACCACATCGCTGCTAAAACTGCGTATAAGCGTCCCCAACAGACAGGTGCCGCTAAGCACTGGCCGACCTAGAGCAGGGTCGCGGCTGACCTCTTAAGGAGCCAGATGCAGCTTTAATTTTTTTGAAGTGCGTTTTTTCTAAACTGAGATCGGGAAAATCTGCTGGGACACCAGTCCTGCCATACCCTGGCCGGCGCAGCGAGGTGAAAGGTGTTGAAAATACCCTGCTATCGCTACATAGATCTTCTCTTTATTTTAGAAGTCATACTAGCCGTAGAGCATGACATACTAGCAATGATGGATAACCATTATGTACAGGCTAATTAGGTTTGTATGACTTTTTGTCACTAAGTAATAAATACCTTACACATTTCGTTACTAGGCTGTGTGTTATTCGTATACTAGAGCTTATCCTGCTGTGTTTCCCTAGTAAAGTACTAACTGGTCACTCAAGTGACTTCTGAAATGAAGCATTCATTCTCAGGTCTTTACGTCCTGAAACAAACTGATAACGGAAAAGTGACTGGAGTTATGGAGACTTGTCTCAGGCAGTCTGGGTCTGCACACCTTGCAACAAAGCAGCGCCCTTATTTGTGGCACAGGACTGCTCAGCCAGTCAGACTTTCACTTGGCTAACATTGTGTGGCTCATACATTCAGCAACAGGTGTCCCCCGGTAAGGTTTCTTGCTGCTCTTATAGACAAGTGGCTTATACAGGTATAGACAAATAAGCCACTTCTAGTAGTTGCACTGGCTTTGGATTTAAATTTTCTTTTACATAAGATAAACTGTAAAGCCCCATTTCATTTTAAAGTGTGTACACTATTACTGAACCACCTTTTCCCCCTCTGAATATTTCAAGATTGAAGAGTCTTATGACCACATAAACTATGAGTAGTTACATACAAAGCATACTTAGTTTATATTTTAAGGTGGGAGGGTGAGGGGGAGTTGTGTTGATCTGTCAAACCTTGACACGTTTTCATTTTTTGTAGCCATTTTGGTTTTTGTAACCATTATTGTTTTATTATACTGTTTTAAAGAACATCTATCTTCTTTTGTCTTGCTAAGATCGTTTGTTTCAGATAGTCTTGAGTTTGAGTTGGCAACAAGGGACTTAATCTTTGAAAGTTGGTGCTGACACTTTAATGTGAAATTCTTTAGTTATAAGATAGGATGTTTGTCTTTTTATCTGTTTTAGAACTGATGCGAGAGAATGATAAAGAACTCTACCACAAGATGTCAAAGATGCTGGAAGATGCTGAAGCCACAGTAATTGATTTGCCAGGTAACTAACAGTACTATACTAAACACACTGCACTGTGAATTTGACTTGCGATCATACATTTCATTCAGATACATTTTAACCAATATTGAGATGTTTTATCTCCTTCAGTCAATCTGAAAGTATTTATATTTAAAGACCATTTGACCAGGAACGTTAACTAGGATCAGGTTTGCAATATTTCTTTAGAAATCAAACTCGTCTTAAAATTAAATCCAGCGCATGATGTGTTTTATGCTTGCATTAGCACACAAGCCCATTCAGGCTGTTGTCCAGCTTTGCTAATATTTTCAAACTCGCTTAAAAATGACACAAAAACATAATAATACTACAATTAACTTTAAATAATAGCACTGAATTACAGTCAGCTTGTTCTTTCAACAGTGTAAGCACCCAAGAACACTTCACCAAAAAATAAAGATAAAGGAATATACTGCAGAGAGGAATATACTGATTAATATTCCTCTTAAAAAGTTCTTCATGGCAAAGCTGAAGGTTTCTTTTAACTGATGAGCACAGTTTTCTTACTGCTCCTATGAAAATGTTCTTTTACACTATGCAAAAGGCATTTCCCTGAGCAGTGGGTAGAAATCAGATGCTTTGAAAATGCAGTTAAAAAAAACTACAGCAACAACAAACAAACACTTGCGCATTCCTTGCAAATAAAAGGAAATTTAAAATTCATTTTTGGAAAACAGCGACCTCAATGTGGATTTGGCACAGCCGTGCATCAAACTCAGGGCTTTGTTCGGGAATAGATACCTATTGTTTCCATTAACCATAGCTCATCTGAATATGTGCCTATCCAGGCACAATTGTGGTTATGTTAAGCTGGTTTTATTTATCAGAAGACAGTTGTACAGGATCCCGTTGACATGCAACATCTCAGTTGTAATTCCAGTGGAGAAGTGGAGGATTTAAACGTGCTGGTACATGGTGGAATTTAGCCTGGTTGTATTATTTTTATTGTTATGGATTTAGCTGTAGCACTGAGATTAGCAGCCCCACTATTGTTTGGGAATGTACATGGAATCCTAAAAGTAAAGAGGATCTTGGATTAACAGTTTATGCAATGACAGTACCTCTAGCTGCAGTGCAACGTCCAAGAACGCACAGTGCCAGTAGTTCTCTACGCAGCAACCAGCAGCACCCCAAGTACCACTTTTTGGAAACCTTCCCGCCCATGTAGGCCACTGACCTGGCACAGTTTGCTTGGATTTGGATGCATTGTGATGGGTGGAAGTCATTTCCATAAGTCACGTGCAAAGCCTCTCTGCAGACTCCTTCTGAACGGAGCTCGTTCAGCCTTGACGACACAATAGAATCTCTTACTTTTATGGAGGATGGGGGAGTTCGCCCAAAAAAAGTGATCCCGTCCCTTGCGGTCACTGGTTAAGTTTTGCACAGTTTGAGATTATTTTGATAAAATAATGCGCAGAATTCAACCTTGGAAAGTGCAGATATCTAAAAATATATTCTTTACGGAGCTACTTATTAACACCTAAGCTTTCAATCTTGAAAATGAAAGTGATGGGAATTAAACTTTATTCTGTGATGCTAATCTTTTTTTTTTTACAGCATATAGCTTTCTTTTGTAAGCTTTTCACTACTCCTACTTAGAGGTCTGGGTTCACTAGCAGGTTGAGAACAGTGGTAGTTACCAGATCTGAACCAGTGGATGTAAAACTCAATATAGAGCAAATATCATTAGTAAGATATAGAATAATTACTCTTCTGAACTGAAAAGTGGAGAACAAATCTGCCAGATTGGTTCTTGTAATTAGTGTTTAATAGATTTTCCATATTTTTGTGAAAAAATGAGAGGTTTTTGCTTGTTCATTATTCGATAGAGTGTTAAATATTCATTGGAATATCAATTCAGTCCTCGGAAAAGTGAGTTGAGGAAGACGATTTTGAATTTGCGGCTGAGGTCTCTTGGATGACTCCATTGGGTTCTTGTCACACTCTAGAGCATTTGCAGATATTAGTTGTACCACGGAGCCTTTCTGGTTAGATTCTCGTACTGTGACACTCATACCTGAGCTTCTCTTTTCACTTTTCCATACTTGTTATGCCTTCAAAAGTAAAGCAAAAGAGGAGAGAAATTCATCTAGTTTCTTCTGGCCTCTTGGTTTATAAAAAAAAAAATTCAGTCATCTCTAGAACCTGGTACCAATCGATATGATTTTTGCTGGAGACCCAGGATCCCGTAGTTTTACATTCCTGGCCACTCTCCTGGTGATTTTTGTGCAGATTTTAATGGATTGTTTTCTGATCGTGTTTGTTGTAGCCTGATACGGTTACTGCTTCTTCTTGTGTGGCACCTGGATCAGGTATGAGAGTCACATGTAGGAAGTTAAAGGGCACAGGCTCCTGAGATCTCACTGAGTCTGATCATGCACTTTTCCAAAACCTGGCAGTCATGAGTCTCGTTCCCTTCAGAGCTTCAGAGTTGGGAAAACCACCTCTCATTTATTTTTATACCCACCATTGTGTACAGTACCAAATCCAGCAGATCTGTGAATTTCTTTTATGTTGCTGACTCTCCTGTAATGAAAACCTATGCTTATGAAACCCTGCAGATTTCAAAAGCAGCTACGAAAATGCCAATAAAAGCAACACTGAGCGATTGAAAGCTGTGGTGGCACAAATTATTTGGGAGCTGTCAGAAATGTGAACTTCTGTTAGTTGACCTAACACTTTTTTATGGAGGAAATGCTGACTGGGTAACTTCTGAAATTATTTTATTTGCAAGCGTCCACTTTCAGATATCCCTGGATGTGTTGTAGTAAGTAGCGGTTTTGCATGCTTACTGCTGTGTTTTGTTGAAGGCACGGCTTGAGCTTTCACGAAAGGAGGCTTTTGAATCAAGAATCATGCACAGCGAAAGGTGTAACATGGGCATAAGGGGGCAGTAGCTCTGTGGCTTGTGAATCCCCAGGTGCGTTAATGCCGGAGGAAGGGAGCGCAGGTCCAGCAGTCGAGGCAGGTGGAGGAGTCCCTGTTCTGTCAAGCCTGCGGCAGACGGTTCACGATGAGGTGATCCCTTGTTATGATGAGCACTTCAAGGAATGTGTGCAGGATGACATGATTGCTCTTGGCAGCCTTTCACTGGAACAGGTCAGAGTTAAAAAGGGAATAGCAGTGTCATTTCTGTCTTCATGACACCAGGCTGTCGATTCTTTGCGCTACCTAATGGAAGCATTTGCTCTTCATCAACTTAAAAAGAAGCCCCGGTTTCTCATACAGTACATATACCTAATCAGTGTGCTTAAAATGCGTTCAAGACATTAAGGTATTTGAATTAAGTTCTACAAATAAATGAGTAGGTGTTTTAATTTGAAACTTGCCTACATTTATACTGTTATATTCCAAATTATTTCTGTCCTGTAAATTCATGATGGTAAGGGTGGAGAGTGGATATATAGTTTTTATTTTTTTCTAAGGGTATGTCACGATCCCCATGGTGGAGGGGTGAAAAGCTTTTTGAGTGTATTCCTCCTCATAAGGTATTAATCAAAAAGTGATAAAGAAAAAGATTTATGGAGGCACTGCCTTCTCAAAAAGCATATCAAAGAAAAAAAAACACTGAGATAAAAATGGGGGTGTATGCACTGCTGTGCAAGAGTCCTATTCATTTTGTGTTCTGTTCTTTTTAATCAGTTTTTCACTCACACCAGATATGTGGTCATCTTCTGCTGAAGCATTAGACATCTGTAATATAGCTGTTAATCTTCTTAGCTCAGTATAAAATTACCCTTTCGGTTTTATGGATGTGCAGAGAGGAATAAATTATTTCACTCGACAACGGGTCAGTTAGATTTGATTGCTGAATGTGATGGAACAACTATTACAGTGCTTCATATTGGCTGATTATGCATTGTTTGCCATGATATTGTGATCAGTTTTTGGAACATTCTTATCAATGGCAATTAAAGACCAGGTATAGCTACTGTAAGTGACAAACCTGGCTTCTTCTCACTCGGACTATGGTGTATTAATAGCAGTAAATGTTGTTATAATAGTAGAGTATAAAGCACCTGTGGAGGGCTTTTTTATTTTTGATGTTTTAAACATTCATACGTTACTGAATATTGTAAAAGCTGAGTGTGTAAAAGATGTCTTGTGCACACCAGTCTGTATACACATATAAAACATAAAAAGACTGAGCCACCAATAAAACTAAAGAACTAACTGACATAAATTATACCAGTGACATTATAGGAAAAAGTAAGACCCGATCTCACAAAGTATTGCAGTGAGTAATATGTAATAGTAAGACCTGAGTCATCACATCTTTTGAATAATAAGAAGTCTTATCTACACTAGTGGGAATAAATGTTATTCCACTACAATGGTGTATTTACTCTCTGTCAATTGTGCGCCCACATGTCATTGAAGCAACACATTATGCAGTAGAGATTTTCTTTCTATTTTGGAATACTATTATTTCTTAAACAGAATATTTTCTTATGTATGAGATGCTTTTATTTAACAGTTGTACTATGGAGATACCGTCTAACGATGCATGTTTTTACTATGCGAGTGTTACCGCAGAAATGTTTATAACTGCCCCAAAATATTTTTGATGTAATCCGTTAGATGTCTGCCTGGTCTTGTCATGTTTTTCTTATTTAGATGATGTTCCTAATTCGTAGACTGTGTGCTTTTCTTCTGCAGGAGGCCTGGTCAGTGAAGCAGAAGAGGCTGATGCTGGGAAAGGAACAAGGAAGAGGGAAAAGACTAATGTCATTCTTAAGGGGAAATAAAAAGGTAGCCAACTGCATCCAAAATGGAGAGATTACTTTCGCAGTGTTAAGTGTGATTTCCTGGGGTATTGTTGGTATTAGCAGAAATGATTTGAATAACATGCCTATTGAGCCAAAAAATACTTTTCTGTTATTTCCTTCACGTCTGAACCATACGTAAATGATTATGTTTTTTGGTGAAAAGGCGTTTTAATTACACTTGCTCTTTTATTCCTTTGAAAGGAGCTAAATATCCAAGGGGACCTTCAAGAAAAAGAAATGAAGATACTTCATGATCAACTTTATGCAGCCTTCCAACAGTATGTTTTCAAAATTGCCACAATATAGCGCATTCTGTTTTAAAGTCTGATGTCTAGATTTATGCTTCTTTAATAGTAATCACTTTTTCCTCTTTGAATTTATTTATTTTAAAAAGCAACATTTTTCCAAAGTGTTTGTGATATATTTTTGTAAGGTCTGAGTGGCTGAATTATGGGTATTTAGCTCTGAGGCAGATAAAATCTGTCCATGTCATTGGACTCAAAAGAAGCATCAATTTTGCTTCATCCGCTGCACACTGGAAACATGCATTTTCCCCCTTACCCTAAAGGCAATAGTATGTTTAAGTTTTTAATAATTTTGCGGCACCATGCTGACTGACATAATAAAATCAGGAAAATGTACATCATTTTTTTTCTTTTGTATATTGTGGGTGTAAGTTGGACACAACTGTCAGCTGAGTGTTGTTTTAGCTATGCAGCAATGACCTACTCTACAAAGCTTTGCCCCGACAAATTCCTTCTGATATCATTGGTGGGTGGCTATTAGATATATTGGGCATAAGAGAGTTTATATGTACTACCTAAGGCAAAATTTCTTAGATTCAATAAGATCTCATTTAAGATTCTTTGAAATGGATGCCAAATGGACTCCTTTTAACGCTTGCAATTCATTTTATTCAAATTATTCTTTTTTAATGATTCACTGATTCACAATTTTTATTATTGAGCGCAATTAATATCCTTATTATATGAGGGTGAGAAAGGGACCCCGGCCTACTTTGTTTGAGAAATTGCAAAACAAGAAAGTAATGAAAATGGCAAGTATCAAAATCTGGCATTCTCTTAACGGGTTGTTTTCCAGTAATTGATCATTGATCTCTCTATGTGCTTTATTTTAAAAAATCAGGAAAAATCCGATTGGTGGTTTTGGTTTCTGATATAATGTATGAAAAAAGTCTAAAATGTGAAGCCAGTGTAAGACTTTACAAAATGGTTATTCGTTATTAGATATTGCTTTTGGCGGTGAAGTAAAACAAGAGATCCCATATATGCAGGTGGCTGTTAACACAGTTACTGTTATGTTTCAGAGCAGAAAGTCAGTTGCTGAAGGCACTGAAGAAACACAAAGGTGAAGTGACCGCCAAGTACGGAGAATTGACTGAGTCGGGGACGCAGTCAAACAGGGAACAAGGACTTCGGTGGCAGGTAAGGTCTAAACAACCACAGAGGAGCCCAAGAGGTGCTGGGTCAGAAAAAAAAGGGCAGCTGTGTCACACATGACACAGTCTACTGCATGAAAGGATTTGAATGGGAAATGTCTTCTTTTCCGCGAGCTGATCAGTTCAGGTGATTTGTTGTTGCACACCTACAGTACGGTACGTGGGTGTGGTGACTCTGGAAAAGCACGTTGTTTGGGCAGAGGGGAAGCCGCAGTGACGTGGTAAGGTGAGAGGTGACGGCAGCCTGCCTCTCGCACGGAGGAAGGGGGGCGCCGTGATGTCACGCCGCAAGATGAAGTGATCGAGGAAGCTTCTTCCGCGTCCCTTTCTAAGCCTGTAGAGACGCAGCTTGAGAGCACGAGTGAAAAGAGCAGGAGGAGAAGCCGTTTCGGAGGAAGTGTAGTGACGAGACCGCTGTGCCACCATTGCAGACTTACAGATGTAATGAATCTTCTATCAGCCTTTCCTGCCAGGGTGACAACTCGCTTTGAGGAAGGTTGTAAATGCAAGAGAGATTGTGGTATAATTCCTCAGACTGGCATTTCTGCCCCCCAGTCACCATTCGATTATCTCCCAAATTGCTGTGTTTCAGAGAGATAAAGATTTTTTATGGCTTGCTGACTTGAAACAACCAGCACAGCCAGAAAAGCAATGGCTAACCTGCCATGCATAGTAATTTCATTGGTAAATGACAAAATCTTTGTTTATATGACATTTCCAAAATTACTGCGGCAGATGAATCTAAAATATAAAATGTCACATTTGGCATGCAAAACTATGAAAATATATTTCTGTGCAAAATTCATGGAGGCATTTAATTTAGAATGTGTTTAATAACTAAGTCTGCCTGCATCAGTAATCCTGCCTTGAGGATCGAAAAAGATTGTCATATTTATTCACATATTTTTTTTTTTATTTCCGAAGCCAAAAATTTTAAGGGTAAATGTTCATTGTTAATTAAGATTTACTAATTAAAATGAAAATAATTAACGCGAAAGCTTAATCTCGGAATATTAGGCTATACTTAGAAAGAAAAGAAGTTTCTTTTATATGCCATTTCCTGTATATTAAGGATATTTTAAAAATCAGTCAGTGTGTAACCCTGAAAGAAGTATACATTATAGCTAAGGATGTCTCCCTGCCAAAAATGCTGAGGTTACTTGGTAAGAGCTTTGATCTCATCTGTAGGAGTAGAGTAATGTTATGGCACCTAAGGCTCACATAGGACTCTAGGCACATCAACAACCTCAGATATGGAAAATTGGCTCACTTTGCTTTTTACCTTCCTAGAAAATTTCACTTCACCCGCATCTGTGCACTAAAGCCAGATAATAACACTGTTTAAAACGTGAATTAAAATTAAAGGCTGGTGGGTTATTTAGTCTTACTGCTATGGGGCTTAGAGCCTTAACCTTCTGTATGCAATGTGTAGGCTAAACCGCTTTACCACCAATTATACTAATTTCAGTATTGACTAAATTGGTTTTGTGTATGCAAAGATGCTCAGCAAGGAGATTCAGCAGCATTATGGTGAAGCTAAACATGACTTGTTTCTGACGGATGCTGATTAAGTGGGCAGTGCCAAAGTCTCACTGCTCCGTCGGTACTGTTCTATAAAGAAACTGTTCTTTTTTGTGCACGAAAAAAAAAATAAAGCAGGCATCATGTCAGGCTGTAAGTGAAAGCGCACCTTCATCGAGTGGAGAGCTCTGATTTGTAATTCTGCACAACAGCCGCTCGTCATTCATAGTCTCCTCTCCCTCTGCAGCTCAAGGTCAGGGACCATGGCTGGAATTTCATGATGCCACTCCTATAACAGAGTTCAGCTGATACATGTAATGTTGTGTGGCCTTTCTAGAGAATTTCACAGAAAATGCTGCAGTTACAGCGACAAGCAACGATTTTAGCTAAAGTAACACACTGCTTTTTCATTTAATTGAAAACCTGAACGTAATAGCGACCTTTATAGGACAAATGGTATTGTTTAATTTATAACAAGTTTAAAACGCTGATAGTGTATGTAGTTGTCGGAAATTACAGAATGTGAATTATTTTACCATGCATTTAAAGTGCAAAGCAGTTGTATCTGTCATCGTGCTTGTACAAATGTCTCCTTAAGACAATTTTGGATAGTATTCCAATTAGTCTGAGGATTGGGCTGTATTATACAGATGTCTTTTTAATGTGGTCAGACGGAATGTGAACTCCGTGCTCTGTAGACCTCAAATAGCTGTCAGACACATGTATTAGCCTTCAGTACTGCCAACATAATATCAAAGGGTTTAAAACTGCCTGCTATTTAGATGCAAAGAAATTCCAGAACATGTTCTACACGTGTAATGGGTGAATATTATTATAAGGCCTATTAACGTCAGCCACCAGGATCTGGTCAGTCAGGGGAGGGTCACAAAGAAGGATTATGGCAGCAGTGATTTTTTTTTTGTCTAATGAAAACATCATTTCTGACATGTTCATTTCCATACCTGTTTTCATTCCCCATGCCAGTTTCTCAAAATGTCATACTGCGTGGCACGATCTTTGAATTATTCATAAATCGGCGAACGCGTCTTTTCCGGAGGCTGGTGATCGAAGGCGCCGCTGCTGAGGCACACTGCTAAAGCAATGGTGGCTTTGCATCAGGTCTCTGCTCGCCTGTTCTGCTTTCATGGGGGGGGTGGGGAACCATCGCTGAGCCTTCCAGACTGGCAGTCCTGCGGTCAGAGTACAGGCGCTGCAAGGAAACTGAAGGGCAACGCTGGTTGTCGCTCGGGAGCAGCGACGAGGACAGGAGCTCCCGAGACCAGGGCAGATGCATGATCAGAAATAACTTGGAACCAAACTGTTTTCCAAAGCATGCTATTTTGCTAAAGTAGCAATGGGTATCAACACTCATTGGACATGATGTGTATGTACAGTATGCGAGTTTATGGGGATAGCTGACCGCCACACATCTGCACTCCAGTCCGCTGTGTATCCACTTAACTGCACACTGCTGTGGGGTTTTGTTATGTACCAGACAGGACTATTTTTATCTTTTAAACCTAAACGGGTAAAACGGAAGAGTTGTGTAAGTACTGAGGCACGTCCAAAGCAGAACAGACCAGTCTTTATATCATAAATACAGTATACTATTTAGATGTATGAGACGGTATTACAATTGTTAAAAATTGCGAGCTCAGTGTTAATAGGAAAACCCAAAGAGGCTGGCTGAAGTAACAGCCTCTCGGAGCTGGGGATTGCGCAGGAGTTACACAGTGTCTTTTGCGTCATATTTTTATCCAGCTACTGTACTAAAAAATAAATATAGGTTATCATGTTTTTTAATTCTTATAACCTAATTTAGAATTTAGATAACAACTGTTGATGGAGTAAAATTCAGCGAGATACTTTTGCTAGAATTGCGGTTTTTGAAGACGATACTGCATTGAAGAACGAACTCTTTTTGTGAGGTTATTGGTAAGACGCATACAGTAGTTACTTCAGCTAGTGTTCTTATGAGCCATTCTGTTGTGTGCACATAGACGTGTATAGTCATGCTGAATTTACAAATACACCATATAGAGTACAAATATAGTTACATGCATGTATTTATAATTCTGTAGACATTTGACCTTTGAAGCAGTTTCATATCTCAAGCTGTGCTGTCCCGGTCTCTGTCTTCAGTTATTCCCAGCGCCATGCACTGTGTGTCTTCTCGCTGTCAATATTCTGCATCTGTCTCCCACTTTGAATAATTACTCGTGCTTCTTTTGCCCCCCAGCGAACACACACCTTGATGCAGAAAAATTACTCCCCAAAATGAGTTATTCTCCAATCTGTATTGTTTGTTTCTCCTGTTTGTCAGATGTATGCACTTCTTAAAATATTTTAGCAAAGGAAATGTTTGACAAGGCTGTCTTTAGCTTCCATATGCTAATACAATAGACAGTGTCATGTCTCCTTCAGGCACAATGCTGTATATTAGAGAGCCACCCACGCCTTTTCCCATGCAAGCTTAAGAGTTTCTAGAGGCGCATAGATTTTATATTTAACTTTCTGCTTTCTCAACCCATCCAGAATCTTCTCATTTTTTAACATTTTAAGATAATCGATTTTTTTTAAGGTGAGGTGTCAGTTTCATTTATTATATAGTAAATTTTAAATGGGGGCAGACTGTTCTGTGCAGTTTTGTACAGAAAAGGCTGCACAAGTTCTGGGAATGGAATACGGGATGTTCCTTTGAAAGTGTACAGCACCCTTGCATTGTTTTAGACAGCCAACACTATTGTGTTGCATAGCCATTCACAAGACATTGATCAAGCTGTTTTGCTGTTAGAGAACAGTAGGGTGAGTGCATTGGAGAGCTGACAGAAGGGGAACCGTTTAGTGTACCCACCTTGTCTTTGCTTGTAGTAGTTTGTAAAAAATCAGCCATTCATTCTGTATCAGAAAACCACTAATTCCTTGTAAGGGTTGTGGAAACCCAGAACCAGATCCCAGAAGCATGGTGTGCCAGATCCGACAACACACTGGAGTGGACACCAGTCCATCCCAGTGGGGAGAGACATGTAGGGACCATTTAGAGATAGCTTTGGGATGCGGGAGAAACGAGCAGCACTCAGAAAACCCACTCAGTGGGAGATCACACGAATTCTAGACACAAGCTGCTCAGAAAGCTCTATCTCACCGAAGAGCCCGTGACCTTCCTTTTATTCCATAGTGCGTCCTGTGTAATACAGATACACCTACACTGCTACTGTATCACTAAGCATGTCCGGAAGAGCAGTACTTACCAAATATCAGCCAATATAAATGCCGCAGTTCCTTCAAGTAAAAACACACACAAGAAGTGAAGATGTATATCTACAGTATAATACGGGGTACGGTGTTCTGGGGAGGAGAAGGAGAAGGCTGGCTTTCAAGAAAAGAAAGATTTTCTCAGAATTCCAATAAAAATAGAAGAAGGAGGCTTTGACATCTTAAGTTGGTTACTTCTCCATCTTCTGATGTCTGCACATTGTTTCCCTTTGCATCAGTGTGTTTAAACCCTTCAGTAGTGTGAACTGTGTCCATTGTTTTAGGTCGGCTGGAGCAAAGCCCCACAGCCTGTTGAGATCCAGATAAGATGTCTCCGTGGTGTGAGGGACAAACTGCCCAAAGGACGCTACGCCCTGAGGATCTCCCTATACAGCCGTCTTGGGGGACAGGCTCTTCGGTGGTCCAAAATCAGAGACCACCAGCGGGCCGCCACAACTTCATCGGTCGGACATGGCGGGAACTTCTATGACTCAGAGTTGCAGTTCACACAGAGTGTCTTCATTGTAAGCAGAGTGCTGTTTCAGATAAGTGCCATAACCTCGTAATGAACACATTTGTTCCCCCTTATGGTGAGGAATATGTTTTTATTCAACAGGGAAAGAACAGGATATGATTTGCGGTGTGGCGGTTCATTCAATAAAAACCCCACTTTATTGAAAAGATGCTGGGGGAATCTTTTCAAAAACATAGCCTTTGAGAAGTTTATGATGAAAAATAAAAAAAAATACATTCTTCATATGAAAGTCATTTTGGCTTTGGAAGGTTGGGGATTAAAGCACGTTTAGTTCAGAGTTCTGGAAATCTTTGAAGTGGAAAAGTAGCAGAGAATTTCAAAAATATTTTAAATGATAATCATCTCAAACATAATGGTACATGTAAGCTAAATAATAACAGTTAATCTAAATGTTCAGCTATTATTACAGTCATTCTTTACAATTTTCTCTTTTTCAATGGCGTACACTTTGCCTGTGTGCACTAATATTAAAATTGAAGGGGTTATGAAACATTATATTAAACAGTTGCTGTGTTTATACATGAGGATAGAAAGAGTAGTATTAAAATGTGCTGGAGAACCTCTGTGTTTTACTTCAGGGAAATCCAATATGAATAAAACAGCAACTTTTCAAACATGACATTTAATCCATGCATGTAAATCAAACGGGAGATCTATTATTCATTATTATAAGGGCATAGTATTTTATTGGATTGAAAATGAAGTACAAATGCTGTGAAAAATTTAGTGTCTTTTCTTGGGGTCTTGGAGCACTTATCATTCAGCCCGCTAGACTTCACTGGCTCTCATAATAAAAAAAAAATATCAGTCAGAGTATTTTAAAAGTAGCAGTCTTTGATAACAAAGCCAGATACTTGAAGAGGTATTTTTAATATGCTGTCACATTTCATATTTTATGCACCCTTAAATGCTAATGTGATGTATAAGGAATATTGTTAATATTTGCACCTTATTAGTCATACCCAGAATTTCCTTCTCTAAATTGACTTTACGATGCTGCATTTATCAGAAACTGATTATCATGACCTAAGGTACTCATTCTTAAAATATGATGAGTTCAACAATTTTCAGAGGATTATTTAGCATGTGTCAGCATATATCTTGCGATAGAAAGCTTTCCAATACGGAAATGCGATAGGTGATTTTTTATTTTTAATTTAATCCAAAGAAATTATCTCCTGAAGGTTGATTTTCAATTTTTTATTTAATTTTTGGTAAAAATATGTAGTAAATGGTTATCTGTAGGTCCCATTTTGGATGTTAAAATATGTATATATCACGAGCCTAAATTATTGCTTTCATTAAGTTGCTGAAATGTAAAAAATCAGTGACGATTTCTGCCTTCCTGCCTATATCACATAGTTAATTAAATTTAGTAACAATAAAGCATGCTGTCCAGAATTACAGATCTTGCTTTAAATATGTTTACTGATGATAACAATTAAGCTTTAACCTTGTTTACAGCGTTGTTTTCCAACTCTTCTTTTTCATGCTCCACCTTATTGAATCCTGATTATTTTGCATGCCTGCCTCATTGATATTTCTAGAAAATTACCTTATGTTTAATGCACGCATCAATTCTTTAAAAGTAGTGTTATGCTGAATTCTCTTCACATCTGATGTCTTTGGTTCAGCTGATGTAAGGGTCTGTAATAGATACTTTAGCTAAAACCCTGTTTTGCTTTGAGTAAAGATGGGAGACACTTAAGAGTCTGCCTTATTTTTTGCTCACTTGACCACAGCTTTCCTAGCACATTCCTGTCCGTGTTGAGACTCAATTGCAACCAAAAGAAAAAAAAAACCATGTTCAGTGAGACCACTATGATTGCTTTTTTTCTTTTGTGGGTTTGTTTTGCGAGCGCTGAGGGCTTCCTGACAAAGTTGTTGTTTTGCGTGGACAGAGGATAAAATAGAGTCAGTTGTGGTGTAGTGTGATTCCTGAACGATTACTATCAATAGACCGTAGACCTTGGATTAAAGCATTAAGGTCATTCAGAAGCAACGGCTTCCCTCAATACAATACAGTGTTTACTGTCACCCAGCTGCTTCGTTCAGATACTCTTGCAGATGTGGTTCTTGTTTATATATTTTTTTCTTTTCTCCAAACGTGATGATCAGATTTGTATGAGAGTATCAGGTTCAGTCCTCCTGTATGCTTTGCCCACGTTATCTTGCGATTTCTGGAGTGTTCGTTGCGGCTTCTAAGAGGAAATAAGGAATTAGCAATTGTAGGAGGAAGCCAAGAGCTTATTTTTGTTTCCTTCTTGCTTCTACAGGAATGCAGCAGTTCAATTTTATCCTTCTTAAAGATTCTTGCGAGGCTTCTCATGAAATTAGGTTGGGCCCACGGTCTTTATGTGGTGTTTACTTCAAGTGGGAAGCATAAGATTCAGAATCTTAATATTGAAGAAAAAAAGAGGCAAGGCGTGCGATGATAAACAAAATCTTTGGAATTGGTCCCAATCTCATTATTTTTCTGAAGTCCGCCATCTTCTTTTCATAGCCCTGATCCCATCACGACCACACTCTCCTTTGCAGTCTTTTAACTTCATTTCTCAAAGACAGAAAAGAAAGAAAAGGAGATTTTGAATAAACCATCTTGTTTTTCTGTGACAATCTGGACCTAATGATGTTTTTTTTTTTTTCCCTTTGGAGTCTGCTAAAGATGTCAGTCTTTTTCCAATTAAACTTGATATGCATAATGGGTTAATAACAGGTGCCACTGGATAAGAGTGTTTTGTTTCTCAGGCTAACAAATTCCTTAATGTGACTTTCTCAGACGAGCCCAGTAAAGACAGCTTCCATTTTTCTGTTTGTTATGGTTTATGCTTCTGTTTCAGTAAATTAGCTGTAGAAAAAATCTTTTTAATATCCATCATATGCAATATTATGCCATAACTTGTGGCTTGACTCAGGCACAACCTATCATTATTCAGGTGACACTGAAAGCAGATTAGCAAGAATACACATGATTTATGTAATAAAACAAGTCTTTGCACTTTTCTATTAGAAATAAGAGAAGGATGAAATATTTCTCTAGTGATTGATGAAGTGGTATACTCTTCCTTGTCAGATCATTTTTTAGACTTGATTCCAGTGTACTGTTCTTTGAGTACATAAAATTCTAGATGTGTGGTTGCATAATAAGAACACCAGGAACACTATTGACAGTATTGACTGTAATTGTGTTTCCTATTGGCTTTATACTGCATTAAACACATTCAATAACTTTGTTGTATATGTATACGTTCTTTTAAAATATATGCATTTAAATATGATCTGTTATTTGTGCATGATGCCTCTTAAGTGTGCAGTTACATTGAAACACTTTGTTATAAGATTAAATACAGTAATGCTATTTAGAGTTCTTGTAAGAAAAAGTGCCTTTGATCACAGAGCCGAAAAATATGTATAACAATCAAGTTCGCATCCAGTCATTTTAAATAAACTGGATCTTGTAATAGATCTCAAGCACTTCTGTGCTTTGGTGTGCCTTATGTAAACACACTTGCATACATATGTGCTAAGAAATTTCTAAATGCATTAAGATTGAGGGAAATTGGAAAGTGCAAATTTCTTGAAATATTTTATGTTTTTTTTTTAGGTCTTACCTGCTCCAAGTGAGGTCCAGCCAGAGATGATCCTCCTGTTTGAGATGCTGTCTGGTGAAAATACTCCCAGCAGTGACCTGTTTGGCTGGGGTGCCTTTCCTGTATGTGACTGCCGATTTGAGATCGTGGAAGGACAGTTTAAATGCCCTTTGCTGAGAGGCCAGCCCGATCCCGCTATTGACCAGTTCCAGAAGATAGAGGATCTCATGTCGTCCGACTTGGATAACTGGTTGTGCAATCTTTACTTTCAGGTGCTGTGTGTTTTCTAATTCACCACACCTCCGTGGTTACAGCGCAGCTCAACAGACCACCTACCACATGAGCACATGCAATTAGCTGATTTTTGTACTCATCCGGAATTAAAAAAAATGACCTTATGTATGATTATTTGGAATCATGGGAGACGGGGTAGAGATTAAAAAAAAATTCTGAGAAGGCATACGCTACAGTTGCTGTATTTATATATAAAGTGTCTAATTAATAACGGCCTAACTGCATGAAGCAGAAGCAGTTGAATCTTGTTTGTGTTTTCAACATGTTTCGTTATTGTGCTTAGATATGGCTTTGTGCTACATTCTATAGTGTAATGAGATAAGTACAATAATAATAGTTTTCACACAGCCGTTTCCCTGAACCTCAAATTTCCTGGACTGATGTCATCCTCACTGGGCTATTTCTAGGTAAAGAAACTTCCCCGCTGCGATCCCAAGCACCAGGAATATGAGGTCACCCTTCAGATCCCTCAGGCTTGCCAGAGCCCGGACAGCTTGTATACCTGCTGGGTGACTAAAAGGCACCAAAAGGACTGCAACACCAAGGAGTCTCATCTGAGATCTCAGTTCAGCCTGTCTCCTCACTATGACCATTCTCTGGCATCCCAGCAAGGTCAGTCACACCAACATCATCTTCATTAGGTCCCCAAGGTCACATATGTGTTTGTGTATCGTAACTAATATATAGTATATTGTAACTATTAATTTGTCGTAACTAATATATTTTATGTTTTGAACAGATTTCCTATCAGAAATCTGTTTGGGCTTGAGAGGTGTAGTCTTTACCACTGTGTTAAAAATGAAACGATAAACACAAGATGTTATGCTATAGTAATACTCCTCCTGTGCGTACACAAGGTCACGTATTTACATATTTAACAGAACAGTGCAGCCAGCAGACAGATGATTAGGGCTTAAATGATGTAAGCAGATGGCAGTGCACTGCTACAGTTGAATGACCGTTTGCCCAAGAATGTGAGCAGTTGCGATGACTAACATGGGGAAATATTTTGATGAGCAAAGATTGCATGTGAATCCAAGCAATGCATATACCCTGTTCCATTTTTATTCACACAGCAGATCAGTTTGATCTTGCATATACTTTTATTTTTGTTCTTGTTTAAGAGCATATTGTTGTGATACAATGGTTTTAGATTCGTGTTGCCTTAAAATGAGAAGTGAAGTGCTGAAAAAATCAAATCATTGTAACGTATTTGCAAAGTGACAGAAATTAATTTTATTATTCCTTTCCGAATTACTTTTGACTTAATTTTTGTTATTATGTACTCTTTTAAAATGTGATGTTTATGAAGACTTCTGATGGCGCCTGACCTGGATGCTGGCATAGTTTGGATCCTCTTGCACTTAATACAAGCTATCAAATAAATGTTGGAGAGCCATTCAATCTTACCTTCAGCAGGTAGGGGAGAGGATTGCAGCCCCTTGATGACAAGCAGCTGTGCAGTGCGTGAATCATGACAGTATGAGGCAGTCGGCAAAACAGCTATCCCTGCTTAATTCCTGCCTGCCTGAATTAGAACCAGCAAGAATTGTATGGTTTACCTGATGAGGAATGTCAGAGTTTAAGATTCTTGTAACATTTGTGCAAAAACAGCTACCAAAATAAATCCTCTTCTGGGATGCCTCTTCATGGATGTTATAAAGGAATACAGTGGTTTATGATGGCTCTGGCTGACCTAGTACCTGCCTCTTTAAACTCCATCTCTATACTGGCCGACAGCTCATCCTTAAGGCTGCCTCCCCCCCCCCAAGCTGATGGAAAGTTAACTCTTGCTCTCCTTGGATTGTTATGCTCTGACAGCACTGTGCTCACGGCACAGTGCACACGTTTTTCACCTTGGTGCAGGCATTGCTTTGCCTCACTGAAGTGTGGATAGAAAGACTATCCACAATGAACATTCCAGTCTGTTCAGCATGGCACACGAAATGAAAAAGTTCATCTATGGGCTCATGTTTTTCTTTGCTGACTTCTTTAGGTTGCCATCATGTTGTCACTGTTGTGCCGTGGCCTAGTTTAATCACATTTATGTTGGGCTTTTGTGGGTCGGTGTTTTGGTTTTGGTTCATATCACCAGTAGCTGAAGTTTTCTTGTTTTCAGTCTGTTGTAATGAAGGCCCTAGCAGTTCTACTTGTCTGCTGTTTCTCTCAGCTAGTCAGTACAATTTTTGTCATGTTCATTCTGCTTAAAACACATTTGTACTTCTTTTCTATCTGGTCATTCAGCATTCATCATATATCGTATTATATGTAATTTATACAGCGTCAAATGTTAGATGTTAATTGTATAATATACTTATTTCCCCCCTGCCTGTTACTGATGTGTTTTCTGTTAAACGTGTCCAGTTCTGAGGAGCTGGTTGCCGTTTACTGCTATGTTTTGAAGTCTCTTTAAATATTAGCAAATTATGTTAATTACACGGAATGCATTATTTCACGAGACTCATCTCAATCCTACTGATGGTTATGGATTTTTCAATAAATCCCTGCCTCTTCCTTGTGCGCAGAATAAATCGAGGCGGTGGAGCAAATTAATAGGCAAATTAATTTTACTATCAATGATTTTAGCAGTGGAGCAGCATGGTGGCTTTGCAGTTTTTCTTATTGCTTTTGTGTTCTGGGTTTTATTCCAACCTAGGGTGTCTTTTCCGTGTCACTTTTGCATGTTCTCCATGTGGCCACTGTGGTGTTTTCTGATTCCACTAGTATTCTTCCACAGTATAGTTTAAACGGAGACTTACCAGTTGTGAGTTGCAGGGTGTTATGGCTGCTGACCACACTTAAATTGCTGATAGAAGTATGGGATGACGTCAGCCTTTTAAAAGTAAGATCTGTAAGAGACCTCTTTTCATAGATCTCAAGACATCATGTCTTAGAAAGCTTCTTAAAAAAGGTAAAGAAGAATTCTACCTACTGTATGAGCCTCACCTCCGGAGCCCAGGGTCCTACTCACTGTTTATCCTTTTCGCTGCCTTAAAGATATCAATAATGATATAAGTGATATTTTGCATTACAAGAATGTATTCTGTATGTCACCTCTCAGTGCTATGAGGACTGTTAATTTTGTTGTTTTTTTAATAAAAATACTTCCATGACGGTAAAACCAAGAATCTGTATGTATTTCAATAGCTCGGCTAGGAAAGTTCTTTTTGTGAGCGCACAGCTTTCAAAGCAGATCTTGTAGAAATCTGATGGGGACCTATAGTGGGCCTCCACCATGCTTTTCTAGCCACAGTGAATCTGCACAATAGAAAGATCTCCTTTTGGGACAACTTCCGAGTCGGGATTTAGTGTTCATACGGATGTTTTTCTTTATAAATAGTCGTAACTGCGGTGAAGTGGTGTGCAGGTGGGATTGCACCTGTTGCTTGCTGGGTGAGGCTCCAGCTTCCACATGGCCCTGAAGTGGGTGAACATTAGAGAATGGGCGGATGGAATAATGGCAATAGCTGTGGTGTGCAATTAAAAAAATACAATTAAAATGTTGGTATGAGTTCCATTCAAATATATGCTTAAGAATAATCACAGTAGACAATTAAGAGCCTCCAGATTTACAAAAATTATTTAATAGTGACTAATTTCACCTCTTAATGCAGCATGTACATATTTTTTTCTAGCTGCAGATAGGCTACATTTGTCTGGGGAAACAATAGACGAGGATAAAGGCCACATGCAGTGACTGAAATCATATTTTGCATTGTGTGTATTTTAAAGAGATTTATAAGTATGATTTGAACATTGATAATGCTCTAGTTTTAATTACCTGCAGTAGGTCGCTATGTGTATCGGTGGGAAAGGAAAAAGAGCTAAGCAGTTGATCTGTGAAGTTTGTAAGCTCTGTTTACCATTGCTTGAATTGTCTGGGCCTTCCGTGCTAAAGTATGGTCGTCACAGACTGAAGCCATTTGATCGTTGTTCACTTCACAATTAATCCGGTTTTCAAGGTGCAGTAATCCCATATGATTTAGGGAGTGTGGCTGTGGTATTCAGGAGTGTTTCATATCACTTCTGCACGTGCAAGGTCCACCAACATGGTTTAAGAACCTACAGCGTCTGCAACTGAAATCGTAAATCATCTGGGGAGATAGGAAAGAATGGAAATAGAAAAGAGGGGTTTGCATTGTTAATATTTCAATGGGCAAGAGGATATATAAGGAACAAGTAATAGGTTTATTCCATACTGAAAAGAGAAGAAAGAACACAACATTTTCTCTCTTCTCTTTTTGGCATGGGATAAACCTATTACTTGTTCCTTTGCAGCCTACGCATGCTGACGCAGCTCCCCACCTGAACTACTTAAAAAGAATATATATATACTGTATAGGAATATGTAAGAATATGGGATTAGCTGACACCATCCTAGCATCCGAATGTATTTTGGCTGGTGGTACTCAGTGACTTGCTGGGACCTGTTGCCCTGAACTTCATAGACAGAAAGATCAGGCCAAGGTTGGAACACTAGCTCCTTGGCGAAAGTCAGGAAACCCACTGCAAGTCCAAGTCACATGCTAGCACTGCCTGTTGAAGAGCGGTCTAAGCACTTTGCACTGTCACGGGCCACTGGTTTTCCTCTTCTTTATTTTCCAAAGGAGCAGTCCTTCCAACTTTCACATGTGTGTTCTGTGGCAGGAGTTCTAAATCACACCACTCAACACCGCTCAACAGCCCCAGAGAGCTCGATCTGAGTCAGTGACCTTGTTGGTACAGTACTGCTTTGTAGAATTTGAAGTGAGTAAAGCTGCATTACATATATGACATATTTAAAAGCAGTTTCTATGGCTTGCTTACTTTTAGATGATATCATGACGTTATTGTATTTGGCAGATGCCTTTAACCATGGAGACCTACAGAAATAGAAGTTGTTATTAAAAAAAATAAAATAAAAGTTTGCAATTTCTGGCACAAAAACATTTTCCTGAGTTTGATCAAACTGAACTAACATGGTGGGTTTGGTTGGATATGAACCCTAGGCACTTTTACATACATATAGTATATCTTTTAAAAAGTCATTGCACTTTTAGGATTAGTTTGTCCTTATTCTTTTTCATCTATAACACAAATACACCATTCAGAAGATTAAAAAACCCAGGATTTAAACAGATATAAAGAAAAAAATGTTTGGCTGGGAATTCCTGGGCACTAAGAAGTTATAACATGCAAAATCCATTGCATTTTTATTGTTGTTTTCATCTTTTCAAGTACTTAGAGGCCTCAGTAGGCTTGTACTGCAATGCATTAAGTAGGCTATATTTGATAGGGAAAGACAGCACAGAGATGTAGAAATGAGTAAACAAACACAATATGGGGTAATTCGTTTCAAATTAAGAGTTTTTAAATTCTCATTTGATGTCTTCCTGGCCGTTGACAATTTAAAGAAAAAAATAACGCCGGGGAAAGCGAAAGGCAAATGAAGTAATTTACACTTGTAGCTTACTGTATGCAGAATTAGTGATAATTCTGTGGGTTAATGTTCTGCAGCAAATGCAACAACTGCATTCTGAGTGTAAATACCAGCCTTTATTAACTGTGTTGTTGCTGGTTCCTATTCAAGCAATACATCTCGAACTATAATGTGTTAGCGACGGTACTCAATC